TCTCCATCTCTGAAAATGGCTGTCTACTATCCTCTAGTTTCAAGCCTGGCAACTAGCTCTTCTTTGGCTCATCCCCCAAAAGACACAGGCCAGACTTGTTGCTGCTTGGGGCTCAGTGGCTCTCAAAATGGTCATTCCAGCGTAACAGGGGGGGCATATTAACAAAAGCAGGTTATATTTCTTTAATATTTACTCATGGTAAGTGTTGTGCTAGGCATTTTTACACACGACTTCACCGATCTCTCAAACAGTCTTACTGGGGAAGAATTCATCATTGTTCTTACATTTTCTGAATGAAGAAACCAAGGCACATGGAGGTAATGGACTTGCCCAAGATCAGGCATAGTCAGGAAGGAGGAGAGCTGGGCTTCAACCTTAGGTCATCAGATTCCAGAGCTTAAATTCAGAACCATCAAGCTACATTGTTTCTGCATAGAACAGGAGGGATTCCAGCTGACTTGCTGATACATTAGGCAGGTTCCATGCCTCAAATTAAGGACCATCCATGCACGACATGGTTATTTTTAGCATTGCCTACCCTATGGCCAGCCCCATTCCAGGCATTAATGCCATGAATTAAGGGAAGGAAAGTCCTGGGATATGGCCTTGATGGAAACACAAGATCCCCCACAGATCAGTGATGGGGAACATGAACAAAAGGAACGACCACAATGGTTTCAGAGAATGATACACGATGTGAGAGAAATTAAATAGGGGAGGGAGGGAGCAAAACACGACAGGTGTAAGGGAAACGACACTGAGAAGGTGACATCCATGCTGAGAAAGGAAGGCAGTGGCGCTGGCCTGAGATGCTGGGTAGGAATCACCCATACAGAGGGCAGAGCAAGCACACAGTTCCCACAGTGGAGAGGAGCCAGGCCTCATCAGTACAGGGCAGTGCTTGGCCAGCGATGAATGGTGGGGGGGGTGGGGGAGGGAAGGGCAAGAGCAGAGCTCAGAGAAGCAGGGGAACAAGGCATTAGGAGCCCAGGGCCCAGGTAAGGGGATTGCATTTCATTCCTCGGTGGGAATCCTCGGGTAGGGTTTAAGCAGGAGAGAGCAGGCATCACTGGATTTCCATATTAAACATTCGGGCTTGCCTCAGAGAATGGCTTATGAAGGGAAGAGTGGAGACCTGCCAAGGAATCACTGTGCTCCAGCAGGTGATGACAGTTGCATGGACCCGGGGGGTAAACGTAGAAGCAAATGGGAATTCTTTGGAGGAAGAGACAGCAGGACTTACTGAGAGTCTGGGTGTGGGGCTGTGGAAACGGAGAGTACAGGAAGGTGCCTGGGATTTAGATGTGAGCAAGCGGGTAGATTCACACACCATTCTCAACTTCCCTGCTTCCTTTGCCAGCTCCCCTCCTGCTGAACTTCAGCACCACAGCCCCTGGGGTTCCGGATTCAAGGGCCATTTTCTCCTTCGGTGACCTCTTCAGCACACGGCCTCAACAGTCACTGAGAGGGGCCTTGAGACACCCTGCTTTCCTCTTACCCCACATCCACTCACTTGCCAGCTCCGGTACTCTGCACTGGTATCTGCCAATTTCTCTCCCTCTGCACTGTCCCCACCTCACCTCACCCAGACTGCTCCCCAAGTTTTCTAACTGTCCCCTACTACCACCCTGTCCCCCACTTATCCACTCTTCCCACAATCGCCAATAAATCTGATCATCCTACTCCTGATTGAAACATGGCTATTGAGGACAAAGTCTAAATCCTTACCAAGGCCTGCAAGGTGCAACAGGGTCCCCTGCCATCCCACATCCTGCCCTAGCTGTGGGGTCCTCCATTCTCACTCTGGCCACCTTCTCATTTCTCAAAAATGCCCAGCTCCCTCCTGCCTCTAGAAACTCTGCACAGGCTGTCCTCTGTCTTGGAGGCACATTTACCCACTTCCTCAAGGAAATCCACACCAGCTTTTCCTCTCAGCACTGAGAACTCTGTGAGTAGCTAACGACCTCTGCGTGACGGCTGCTTCTCTCTGGATCGCAGCTTCCACAGGACAGGAATCTGCCTGTGACTTAGCACATATACTGCCTTGCGTGGCAGACTTGGTACTTTGAAGTGTTCTTGGTGGAAGGTGGAGAAAGACTTTCACATGCTAACAGTGTATTTGCTGAACATGATCTCCCTGTAAGAAATGCCGGGACGGTGAGAAACGTAACATGTTCATTATACTGATAAGTCCTAAGCATTTATGAATTTTAGTCTGGCTATTCGCCTAGACTAAAGAAGGCAGCATGGGAACCTAATTCACATTCTATCCACCCTCCATGCCACATAAGGCATCCAGGAGAACTCAATACCCACCAGATAATACTGTGCTGCTCATTGCAAAGGCGGTAACAAAACCCCGCCCTCCTGCCCCCTCCCATGTGACAGCCGGCTGCAGATTTCAGAGCCACACCTCTAAAGCTTTAGTGTTGGAAACTGTAACTAAAGTTCTAAAGGGCTAATCAATGAGCTTGCTATAAAGGAGGCGGCAAAAAGTAACTTACATGTGCTCACATAAAATGCAGATGCTGCCTGGAGGCCACTGACATCCCTCCGGATCCTGAGCCCCTGAGATGCTGGGACTGCACATGCGTGCTTCAGCTGGCCTCCTTCCCTTAACCTGACCCTCTCTTCACACCTCACTTCTCTGGCTGCTGTTTGTTCATTCATTCCCTCATCCCCATTTATCCTGTTCTCCTCTATTTTTTTTAAGTTTCCCTCTTTTTATTGTTTTCTTTTTGCCCATTCCTTAGACCTTGACACATCTCTTCGCCTAATCATGGCAAAGAACTGGGCCCGTATTTCACTGCTTGAGGTAATTAACAAGGGTCATACTTCCTATTAAATCTCTTGATGTGTTACTTTAGAAGAAACAGCAAAGATGCTGGAGTCTTGGCCCTGGTGCTTCCTCACAGGGCCCTGGGAGGGATGTCAAGACCCATCCTCTGGGGAACTGTCAATGCCAATCATGCTCTGACCAGTTGGCCTTGCCAAGTCTCCAATTTCCTATTAAGACAATACATTTTAGAACATTCAGGGGGCCAATGTCTCTTAACTGATAAAATCTGCAAGACCCTCAATCCAGTGAAAACCCTACACGTCTAGGCAATTTTACTTCATGCCATAAAAATATATCAGTAGTAATCAGCCCACTGACACCGAAAGCCAGTTTCAAGCTCCTGGTAGTAATCTTCAGATATTAGTCTGGATACCAAGATAAACTGTAGACCAGTTGTTTTAAAGATGATGCTTCTTGGAACAAAAGAAAGGCGGTGGGTCCTAGGCAGGCCTGGCTGCAGGCCCCAACCCAGCACAGTTCCTGGAATTCCATATAAAGGTATTTGATGACAGGGTTTCATGTCAAAACAACTTGGCAAACTCTCCCTTTGAACTATTCAAGTTCCCCTTCCTGAAACTCCTGATACACACAGAATTACTGACATAGACATTTTCCAAAGCTGTGAACATTCTCTTTCTACTATACATAAGTGATGCCTGCTGGGAAGATTAAGAAAGAAGAAACCAGGGCTGAAATGAAAACTGAATGCTTGATGGAACAAGCAGAGCGGGTTCCTGTCCAGCAGCCTGAGATAGATGAAGCAGGCATGTGACACGACAGTCAACAGAACTGAGGCCATGATAGGCTGGGAGGGCTCAGACCACCAAGAAGCACAAGTCAGTGATAACTCAGGTCGGAGAAAACCAACAGGCACCAAACATGCCTACTGTAAATTCAAGGAGGAAAAACCCTCTGAGACTGAGACTGCATATCCCCCATAATAAAGCCAAGAGAACATCTAATAATATTTTTAATCTTTCATGGGGTTGAGGAGAGAGGAAGCCTGCAACAGCTGTTTGCACCCAGGACTGTTCAGTGGAACCACATTGTGCAACACCATAGGTTACATGCATGGACACCAGAGCACCTCCACTCAGCAGGCTCCCTATATTGTTTCATTATATAGCAAAAATAGTTTTCACATAGGCCTTTATAGAGCCTCAAACCTCCAAAACTATAGTAGTTTTTTCCATGAGATCTCAAGACACTATAGAAGCAATGGAATCTAGGGATGAGCTGAGGCAGTGGGGAGGGAAAGGTGAGAGCTTCCCTAAAGGCGCCATCCTCCCGGTTGCTCTGGCTGGGGAGGACAGGAGAGGGACCGCACCTTGTCTGCTGAGGGCCAGGGCACTCCAGACAGGGTCAAAGGGCAGGAGAGGTGGGAAGGGCTGCCACAGTAGAAACACACCACAGGCTGGCACTCATGGAGAGGCTGTACAGGCAGACCTCATTTCATGGGGCTTCCCTTTACTGTGCTCGGCAGACACTGCCTTTTTTTTAAACAAATTGAAGGTTTGTGGCAACCTGGTGCAGAACAAGTCCACCGGCACCATTTTTCCAACAGCATCCCCTCACGTTGTGTCTCTGTGCCAAATTTTGGAATTCTCACAATATGTCAAACATTTTTGTTATTATTATATTTGTTATGGCAATTTGTGATCAGATCACAATTTGCTGAAAGTTCAAATCATGGTTAGCATTTTTTAGCAAAAAGCATTTTTTAAGGTATGCACTTTTTTTAGACATAAAGCTATTATACACTTAATGGACTACAGTAGAGTGTAGACATGACTTTATATGCACTGAGAAACCAAGACACTCATTTGACTTACTTTACTGAGATATTTGTGCTATTGCAGTAGCATGGAACCCACCCACAATATCTCCGAGGTGCGCCTGTATAAGCAGCCACACTGAACACAGCCCCCCAGGGTGGGCCCCCGCCCTCAGTGGGCATGTTTTAAGCTGCCTGGGGTGGGAGGGCACTTACGGAACGCTTGTCAGCCTCTGCCCCTTGCTGGCCCTGGAGACATGCGGTGAGCTTCTTGTGCGTGCTGTGGGAGACTTGCTTCACCAGCTCCAGGCGCTTCTCCACCTGCAGACAGAGCAGTGGGCGGTGGCAGTGGGTAAGGGCAAGGTCAGGAGAGGTGGGGTCCAATCAGGGAAAGAAGGCTGACCCACATTCCCGCAAGGACTTATGGGGAGACAACGTCTAACATCTGAGATCTGGAGGGGACGTGGTCGCAGACTCTGGGCCTCTCTGCTAACCAGGCAGTGAAACGTTAAATGTCTCCTGAGAAATCTTACCTAAACCAGTATTTAAAATGCAAGGTATTATTGTAAAGGATAAACATGTGTCTCTAAACAGATTGTAGGAGGAGCAGTTTGAGCGGTTTAAACAGCATTGGAAATGGCTCAGTTTTCAAGGGGAAGCATCTTTGGTGTCTATGAGCTGAGGACTAGCAACAACCTTACCTGAAGAAGATCTTCACTCAGAACTTCGGTCTTTTCTGCCCTAAAGAAAAAATTAAGAAACATATTAGTTAAAAAAAAAATGGCTAGGAACATAGTCTCACACTTACTCCCTACTCTTTTCTCTTATAGGGAGGCTAGAAAAACAGACATTAGTTTATTCTCTACCAAGAGAAAATACAGACAATACTGGGATTTACCAGGGACCTTAAATACTCTGGCAAACAGGATTCTCTGAGGAGTCTCCCGCTACTGACAGCAAACACACTTCTTTTGTTCTCATTTTTTTTTTTTAGGTAACATAATTAAGTATGTTTCCCCATCCATATCCTTGGCCTCACCTGAAACAAATAAGCTAAAAAGAAATCTTAGCAGAGATCAGCAAACATGGAGAAAGCATTGTGTCCAAGTGATGAAGGCAAATGCCACCCCTGAGATCCAGCACCAAGAGCAGGCCTACCAGAAAGTGGGGCCTTGAACCTGAGATGAACACTCAGGGAAAGAGCCTGAACACTGGCTGAAGTGGCCTCAACCTGTTAGCAAACCCCTGGCTCACATCAGAGGAGAATGCAAATCTTTAGAGATCAGGTTCAGCCAGTGAGTTCTCACACACACATGTGTCTCTCCCTCCTTCTGTCCCTCCCTCTCCCTCTCTCTCTCTCTCCCTCCACTCCCCACCCCTACTCACGCAAATTGCAAATTCACGTGAAAACTAATCAACACTAAGAATACAGAGAAAGAAGAAACAACATATAGAGAACTCCAGTGACTGGAATTATCAAAGATTGTAACGTGTAAAATGTTTAAAAACAAATGATACATTAACAGAATCAGTGAGAGGACTTCTGCTTCTGGGAAGATGGATTAAACTGATTTTACCTATCCCTTCCATTAAGTAAAAAAAAAAAAAATCACCTCAGGACCTTATATATAAAACAAATAAGCAAATCTGCAAGGTGGAGAAGAGGCACCCTGGCCAGGGATCATCACACCCAGGAATGACATGCGGGGACTTCTTGCTTCATATATTCCAGACTTGGAGCTTAAGAAACCATGACCTGAAATACCAACGGGTGCAGACAAAAGAAGCCCAACAAACTCCTGGTTACTGTAGTCAAAGGATCAGGAAAGCAGCAGCACAGCAAGACAGAAAATGACTAGACAATAACTGCTCACTCCTGCCAAGCACTACAGGAAAAAAATCTGCCACCCTGCCCCACCCACACCAGCAAAGGCTGAGTAAGGAGCCCAGCCTTCCAGGCTCATCAGGCTGGAACAGGCACACAAGCCTCCCCTCCCACCGTAACAGTGGAAACCATGAGTAGTCAGGACACTCACCTCACCTGGTGGTGATGAAGGAGCCCTCCCCTCCCCACGGAGGTAGTGTCCCAGGAGGTTTAGTGGAGTCAGGACTTCCATCGCCATCCAGTGCCAACCAGGCCACCCTCTTCTGTGGCATCAATGGAAGCCAAGTGGGTGAGCATTAAGAAGCCACTCCTAGGTCTCCCAGCCAGGGAGGTATCAGCAAAGGTCTAATGGGGGCCACAACCCCCACTCACTCCCAGCAGAAATGAGGAGCACCCCTTCCCACCTTGGGTGTGGCAGTCAAGTGGGGAACCTGGACTTCTACTCCCACTTGGCAATAACAAAGTAAAAGTCTCTCTACCCCTACTGGAATGGTGTCAGAGAAAGTTTATATAAAATCTAGTTTCAAAACATTATATCCAGGTTTCAGTAAAACATTCCTCATCATAGCAAAAACCAGAAAAATCTCAAATTGAATGAAAAAAAAAAAAAACAAAAAAAAAAAAAAAAAAAACAACAGCAAGATGACAGAGATGCTAGAATTATCTAACAGATTTTAAGACAGTCATCATAAAAATGCTTCAATGAGCAATTATGAACACGCTTGGAACAAATTTAAAAAAATAGAAAGTCTCAGAGAAGTAGAAGATATAAAGAATGCAATGAAAATTTTAGAGTTAAATTTAATTTAAATTTAATTTACTAAAATATAATAATGCAAAATTTAAAATCCCAGGAGACAGGTTTTAATTGAATGGAGAAGGCAGAAGAAAGAATTGGTGAACTGGAAGAAAGCCCAGTAGAAACTTCTCAGTCTGAACAATAGAGCAAAAGTAGAACAAACCAGTAAATAAACAAAACCAAAGTTTCAGAGAGCTGTGGGATGATAACAAAAGATTAAATATTTATGTCCTCAGAGTCCCAGAAGAAGAGGAAAAAGAAGGGAGGGCTGAAAAAATACTCAAAAAATAATAATGGCCGAAAACTTTCCAAACTCCGTGAAAGATATAAACCTACATATTTACGAAGCTAAGCTAAGCCCAAACAGGATAAACACACACACAAAAATTCTCACCAAGCTTCACAAACTTCTGCAAACTAAAGACAGAGTCTTGAGAACAGCAAGAAATAAATACTTACTAACAGCAGGATCAATTTGAATACACCAGATTTCTGATGCAAAACCAGAAAGGATGGAAGGAAGTAGCACACCAAATCCACAATGATAGTACTGAAAGAAAAGAACTGCCAGCCTAGACTCCTATATCCAGACAAAATATCCTTCAGGAATGAAGGAGAAATCAAGATATTCCCAGATAAAGGAAAACTAACAAAATTTGCCATCAGCACGCTTGACTTAAAGAATTGCTAAAGAAAGTTGTCAACAGAAAAAAAAAAATGCTACAAGAAAGAATCTGGAAATATCAAGAAAAAAGAACAAGGTGAGCAAAAATGGTTAAATAAAATATTTCTCTTCTTGAGTTCTCTAAATTATGTTTGATGGTGGAAAAAACCTTACAATATTGTGTGCTGTGGTTCTAAATGTGTATAGAGTAAATATTTAATATACTTACAGTTGGGAGAGGATAAAGGGACATAAAGAGAAGTTTCTACTGGTAAAAAATGATAATACCAGTAATCTGTGATATGCAATGTATAAGTAATGTAATACCTAGAGCCATTACAAAAAATCCTACACAAGGAGACACACTTAAAAACACTATAGACAAATCAGAAAGTAAACTAACCCACAAAAAGGACAGAAAAAGAAGCAAAGCAATTAAAAACAATAAACATGAAACAACAAAAGAAAAAAGGTAGACTTTAGCCTTAACATACCCATGACTATAACTATACTAAAAATAAATAGTCTAAATGTACCAGTTAAAAGACAGCAATGGGCAAAGTGGATTAAAAATATGGTATCTGCAAGGGTATCATCTCAAATATAATGATATAGGTAGGTTGAAAGTAAAATTATAGGAAAAGACATTATACAAACATTAATCAAAAGAAAGCAGGAGTCCAAGGCAGCAGGCTGAGCGGATCCGCCACAATAAAAGGCACAGCGCTCTGCACCACGCTGCTCTCTCTCTCTCTCTGTCTCTGTCTCTCTGTCCCCCTGCTCTCTCTCTCTCTCTCTCTCTCTCTCTCCCTCTTAAAAAAAAAGAAAGCAGGAGTGGCTATATTAATATCAGATGATGTAAACTTTAGAACAGAGAAAATAACCAGAGACAAAAAGGAGCATAATATAAGAGTCAACCCCCCCAGGAAGACACAATCGTAACTGTATATGAACTAAACAACAAAGATGCAAAATATATGGAGCAAAAACTTATAGAAAGTGGTTCTAAATGTGTATAGAGTAAATATTTAATATACTTACAGTTGGGAGAGGATAAAGGGACATAAAGAGAAGTTTCTACTGGTAAAAAATGATAATACCAGTAATCTGTGATATGCAATGTATAAGTAATGTAATACCTAGAGCCATTACAAAAAATCCTACACAAGGAGACACACTTAAAAACACTATAGACAAATCAGAAAGTAAACTAACCCACAAAAAGGACAGAAAAAGAAGCAAAGCAATTAAAAACAATAAACATGAAACAACAAAAGAAAAAAGGTAGACTTTAGCCTTAACATACCCATGACTATAACTATACTAAAAATAAATAGTCTAAATGTACCAGTTAAAAGACAGCAATGGGCAAAGTGGATTAAAAATATGGTATCTGCAAGGGTATCATCTCAAATATAATGATATAGGTAGGTTGAAAGTAAAATTATAGGAAAAGACATTATACAAACATTAATCAAAAGAAAGCAGGAGTCCAAGGCAGCAGGCTGAGCGGATCCGCCACAATAAAAGGCACAGCGCTCTGCACCACGCTGCTCTCTCTCTCTCTCTGTCTCTGTCTCTCTGTCCCCCTGCTCTCTCTCTCTCTCTCTCTCTCTCTCTCCCTCTTAAAAAAAAAGAAAGCAGGAGTGGCTATATTAATATCAGATGATGTAAACTTTAGAACAGAGAAAATAACCAGAGACAAAAAGGAGCATAATATAAGAGTCAACCCCCCCAGGAAGACACAATCGTAACTGTATATGAACTAAACAACAAAGATGCAAAATATATGGAGCAAAAACTTATAGAACTGAAAGGAGAAATAGGCAAATCCACAATTAAGTTAGAGACTTCAACACACTCTCTCTCAACAACTGATAGACCAGCTAGATATAAATATTAGCAAGAATATATAATAACACAACTCTGCTAACCAGTAGAATTCAATTGACATTCATAGAACACTCCACCCAACATCAGCAGAATACACATTATTCCCAGTGCTCATGGGCATATATCAAGATAGACAACATCTGGGACCATAAAACAAACTTCAATTAATTTGAAATAATTAAAATCAAATACAGTGTATTCTCTGACCACAGTGGAATTAAAACAGAAATCAGTAACAGAAAGATAAAAAAAATACCCAAGTTCTTGAACACTAAATAAAATACTTACAATGAATCCATGGGTCAAAGAGAAAACCTCAAGGCAAATAAACAAAAAATACTGAACTGAATAAAAATGAAAGTGCAACATATCAAAATATTGGACACAGCCAAAGTAGTGCCGGGAAGAGAATGACAGCACTGAATCCATACATTAGAAAAGAGAAATATTTTCAAATTAAAAATCTAAATTCCTACTGCAACAACCTATAAAAAGTAGAC